CTACCCGCAATGTGGGAAACCTGGGTTTAATCCCTGGGGTGGGAAGATCCCCTGGAGAAGGGCTTGGAGGAGTGGTTTCCTATTGATATTAATCTTTAGATTCTCTTTATTCCCATTTGGCTTTTTTTTTTTTACTTTTTTCATTATCTCTGTAATTAATTCTTTGCATTAAAATCCTCTACTTTAAATGCTTTAAATTATTTTGATTGCCTGCTTGGAATACTCATATAACTGTGCAGCTAGTTAAAAAGAAAAAAAGCTATATCAACATATACTGAGTGGAAGAATGTTCCTGATAAGTTGCTGACTCCAAGAAGGATAGTTACTGTATCATTTTTTTAATTTAAAAATACTTTACCTATACCTTTGTTTAGCATGATCAGTTTTTTTAAAAAAAAGTGTATGTTTAAATGTTAAATGATAATAATGGTGATAATAATTAACCTTTGTAGGGAAAAATAGGTATGACAAAATGCCCAGCAGGATAAGTTGTTATTCTGAAGTAGAAGGGAGGCATGTATATGAATGTTTTGAGGGGAAGGGCTGCACCTACTTTTGACTTTATTCATTTATTTTTGAAAGTCTTTTCACTTTATATACCTAAATGTTTGGATTTTTCCCATGATGCATAACATTTGTAATTTCAAAACATTTTTAAAGCAGGTAATAAAGCATTGTGTCTAATATGATCACTTTTATTAAATATATATCTGTGTATGTATTCATTTGTAATGGGAACTCCCCTGAAAGTACAGTCAGTTCTGCAATATTTTGAAAGTGAATTTCTTCCAAAAGGATTAATATATTATGGAATAATTTGAACATGCCTTCTATGTGTGTGTATGTGATTTTGTCAGGGAGAGTTCCAGGTGAATGTTAAAGGTAGTACCTAACTGAACCAAAAGGCTTGTTGTTGTTGTTGTTGAATTGCTAAATTGTGTCTGACTCTGTGACCCCATGGACTGGAGCACGCCAGACTTCCCTGTCCTTCAGTATCTCCTGGAATTGGCTCAAACTCATATCCTTTGAATTGGTGATGCCATCCAGAGATTTCATCTTCTATCATCTCCTTCTCCTCCTGGCCTCAATGTTTCCCAACATCAGGGTCTTTTCCAATGAGTTGGCTCTTTGCATCATGTGCCGAAGTATTGGAGTTTCAGCTTCGGCATCAGTCCTTCCAGTGCCTTCTGATGAATATTTAGGGCTGGTTCCTTTAGGATTGACTGGATTGATCTCCTTGCTGTCCAAGGGACTCGCAAGAGTTTTCTCCAGCAACATCATTCAAAAGTATCAGTTCTTCGGCACTGGTCTTTTTTATGGTCTAAATATCACATCCATACATGAGTACTGAAAAAAAATCATAGCTTTGACTATATGGACCTTTGTCATCAAAGTGATGTCTTTGCTTTTTAATATTCTGTCTACATTTGTCATAGCTTTCCTTCCAAAGAGCAAGTGTCCTTTCATTTCATGACTATAGTCATGGCCCACAGTGATTTTGGGGCCTAAGAAAATAAAATCTGTCACTGTTTCCAACTTTTTCCCTACCTGTTTGCCACGAAGTGATGGGACTGGATGCCATGATCTTAGGTTTTTGAATGTTGAGTTTTTTTTTTTTTTATTCCATGACTTTATTTTATGTTTAGAAAGGCAGAATAGCAGAAGAACAAAAGGCAAGACAAAAGACTTTCGAGTTTTCTTTCTTCAGATGTATGCAGAGGTGATTATATGATGAGTAGGATTTTATTATAATTTATTTCTCCTGATGAAGAGCTTCAATAAATGCATCAGGTTTTTCTTGAATTTCTCTAACTTTTTTGAGGTCTTCGGCCAGTTGAACTCGTTTGCCAGTAAGCAATTTTACCTTCTTCTCACTGTCTTCAGCAAAATCTTCCAATACCTCTTTAACATTTTTCTCTAATCGCCTGACTTCAGTGTTTGTAAGTTGCTGTCTTAAAGTATTTGCGGTGATAGCAAGCATACGCTGTATTCGCCAAAACAGGACAACAGCATTGCATTTAGACCCAAGCTTGATTAAGGATACTTGGCACCAAGTTTATAGAAGACATTTCTTAAAAACAGCTCTAAACCATTGTAACCTTTGTCGAAGAGGCTTCTATTACTACCAGAGTCATTTTGTTGATTCTGAGTTGGAATGAATGTTGAGTTTTAAGACAGCTTTTTCACTCTCCTCTTTCACCCTAATCAAGGGGCTCTTTAGTTCCTCTTCACTGTCTGCCATTAGAAGGGTATTATCTGCATATCTGAGGTTATTGATGTTTTTCCCAGCTTGATTCAAGCTTGTGATTCATCCAGCATGATATTTTACATTATATTCTCTGCATATAAGTTAAATAAACAGGGTGACAAAATACAGCTTTTGACATACTTCTTTCCCAACTTTGAATCAGTCTGTTGTTCCATGTAATGTTGTAACTATTGCTTCTTGACCTGCCTACAGGTTTCTCAGGAGACACGTAAGGTAGTTTGGTACTCCCATCTCTTTAAGAATATTCCACAGTTTGTTGTGATCCACACAGTCAAAGGCTTTTAGCGTAGTCAATGAAGTAGAAGTAGATGTTTTTCTGGAATTCTCTTGCTTTTTCTATATTCCAGTGGATGCTGGCAATTTGATCTCTGGTTCCTCTGCTTTTTATAAATCCAGCTTGAACATCTGGAAGTTCTTGGTTCATGTAGTTTTGAAGCCTGACTTGGAGAATTTTGAGCATTACCTTGCAGGCATGTGAAATGAGCACAATGATCTGGTAGTTTGAACATTCTTTGGCGTTGCCCTTCTTTGGGATTGGACTGAAAATTGATCTTTTCTAGTCCTGTGGCTACTGCTGAGTTTTCCAAATCTGCTGACATATTGAGTGCAGCACTTTCACAGCATCATCTTTTAGAATTTTAAATAGCTCAGCTGGAATTCTGTCACCTCCACTAGTTTTGTTTGTAGTAATGCTTCATAAGAAACGTTAAGAAACATTACTTGACTTCACACTCCACTCCAGGATGTCTGGTTCTAGGTGGGTGACTACACCATCATGGTTGTCCAGGTCAGTAAGATCTTTTTGGTATAGTTCTAATGTGTATTCTTGCCACAGATATCAGGGGAACGTTTCATGCAAATATGGGCATCGTAAAGGACATAAATCGTAAGGACCTAACAGAGGCAGAAGAGATTAAAAAGAGGTGGCAAGAATACGTAGAAGAACAGAAAAGCTTAGGGAGACACAAAATGCACACACATGCATGTGCCTTAAACATCTGCCACTGTCCACAAGTCTGACTCAGTGTTGTGAGCCACTGTATCCAGATCTCTGGCTTTACAACTTGTCATATGGTTTCAGATAAGCCTCCTTCATACTCCGTAGGACAATGGACAAGTCTTCCAAGACTAGCTTCCACAAACAATGGTCAGGTCAGGTCTTTTTCAAGATGAGATACCATATTTATTGTAGTTTTATGCATTTCTTCACCATATAACATGTGCCAGCTACAACTGGCACTTGCCATCTTCCTCTGTAAGGATTAAATCATGTGCTGCTGCAGCTGGTGATTTTCAACAGCACTTGGAAGGAATTCATGGTGGAGAGCAGAAATGAGGCACTCTGTGTTCTGGGAAAACTGGCAGAACAGGTCTTCAGATAGATATTTTTAGAAGCCCAATTCTTGTATCTCGTCATACTAGAAAAACACTAAACTCCTTGATTACATCTGCTCCTTGTGACTAGCAGTGAGCTTCTCAAAAGTAGCAGAAACTTTCTGCAAAAAATATATGTGTGATTGCATGTAGGTGCTCTCATCAAAATCATATATACTGACCTTTCCCCCTACCTCTTTGGATAAATTTCTTAGAGCTATCTGAAATGCTGTGTCCCTGGCTATTGTCCTCATTTTGCCCCAAATAAAATTTAACTTGCAGCTTTCATGTTGTATATTTTAAGTCAATACATACATGTATAAAAGCATGCTACCATTTTTATTAGGTTCTGATTTTTTTCTCCTTGTTGACCATTAAGGAGTTTTTGAGTATTGCATTCTAATCCCATTTTTCTCATTAGCCCCATGGTTTTTTATTGTACATACCTGCATAGTACATTGATTTTTAGTAATAAGCATGTCATATGATAGTGGAACTAATTATACATATATAAAAATGTTAATAGTGTCTCTGGGTAGCAATTTATTTATTGCTTATCTATAGTGTCTGTTTATTTCTCTGAGGACAGTCATGTGTTAATAACCTAATTATATCTACATAAACACTTTTGAAAGATGAGGTCGGAGTCAAAGGATGACCATAGCTATTATAAGTGAAGGACTGATTCAGAAAGGTCTATTTACTCATCGGTGATGCAATCAGTTAAGTGCCTTTTAGCCTACATAGGAGGCACAAACAAATCATGCTCCTCCTGGGAAACAGAGAGAATGTCTCTCAGCAACACCTTAACTGCTGCTTCAATCCAAATCCCCATTAGCACTAAGAAGAATACATGCCCTTAAATTGGTTTTCAAACATTCAGATGTGAACATGATACAGATGCAGGAACACATAGGCAATCACCAGTAAGATATAGTTGGTGCTTATTGGCTTTTGAGGTTAGTCATTACCTGAGATCAGACCACCTTGTCTTTCAGAAAATGTGACACTGTCAGGAGACTACAAACCTGAGCCCAATGTGAATTTCCAAAGGGAGAGAAAAACATGTATAGTATTTTCCTCCTGTGATTTGCATCTTGAATTTCCACCTACTTTTTCGGAGTGAACTTTCACTTGCCATCACTTTGTTCCTTCTCCTCTATCACCTGGGTGTTTTGTTCGTTTGCTTCTCTCTTTTTTTAGTGATAAACAACTCCACCTGCAGCTAAACTCCATTGTTGATCTGTGACCTGGGCAGGAGCCCTTCCTCCTCTTCCCCTCCGGAACGTGCGTGGCGTCGGGTCAGTGGCCTCTGGCCTCTGACCTCGCGCCTGATTGATCCTTGTGTTTTCCTGTCTCGTCCTGCACACAGAGTCTGCTGTTGGCTCTGCTCTGCGGGGCTCGGTTCCTCGCCCGTCTCTCGGTCCGTGCGGCACAGCTCGTTCTGTGTTCAGCCTCTGGCTTCAACCGCTGCAGCACAAATACTCTCCAGCTGGGAGTCAGACAAGGGCAGAGATGAAGAACCCAGAAGCCCAACAGGATGTTTCGGTTTCCCAGCGGATTCGCGTGATGTTTTATGTGATGAAGCCCAGTGAAACGTCATTCCAAACCCTGGAAGAGGTGCCTGATTATGTACGGAAGGTGAGGCTCTCTGGGAAGAGGCTGCTCTTGCTTTTCTCTTAATAAGAAGTAACTGGAACACAGTGTGGGGTTTCATTCATGTCCATTCTTCAAATAATTCTAATAAAAATAGTTTCCCCCCAAAAAGGGAAAAGTAGAATTTCCACTTGAATTTCTGTACAATATCCCTAACCTTCTCTTCCTGTTAAATTTCTCTTCCCTGAAAGGTCACTCCAGAATGTGATCAAACTTTAAAGTTTTCCTGGACACAGTGGCATTACAAGTTTAGCTGTTAGAAGCTCAGTATCCAATGGTTATGTGGTATCAGTAAACTTTGTAATAATTTTGTTTCTAAAGGAAAACTTGTCTATCACCTCCCAGGAAATGATTTCCTGTTTTGTTTTATTGTTGTTGTTTTAAGCAGGGTGGTTCTGCAGAATGGACACACAGCTGAGAGTTCAACCCTGATTTCCTAAGTTTGAACTTGTAAAACAAGTTTTCTTTGAAACTCTTAAGTGTTCAGAGGCACTTTTCACTTCTGGTTACTGGCTATGATTGGAAGTGGAAATATCCAGAATTAGAACTTGAATACTGAAGTTCCCCACCCTGTCAGAGTTGTTCCTAAAACACTTATTAGTTCAGACCAGAAATAGAAAAGAAAATGACATCAGAAAATATGTTCTTAGGCTTCGGGTTTAGAAAATTTCAGTACTCATGATCAACTTTCAAATGACAGAATCCCAGAATTTTTTCAGGATTTGATATTACTCCTTTCTGATTTTTAAAGGAAAGAATGTGGTACTCACATCTTTATAAATCATTATTATTTTATATTATGACACCAAAACTAGCCCGATATTTGTCATCAATTATAGATGATAAATTTTTTTCTATAAGAAAAAACTGAATGAGTAAAACTTGAATGATGTCTAAAATGTTTAAAATCTCATTCTCTGAAATATTCAGAAGCAAAATTTTTTGTTCTTACAGTTTCAATTTTTTTCAAAATTTTATTAGAGTATAATTGATTTACAGTGTTGATTAGTTTCTGCTGTACCACAAAGTATGTCAGTTATACATACATATATCCATTCTTTTAAAGATTCTTTTCTCATGTAGGTCTTACACAATACTGAAAAGAATTCTCCATAGGCTTTATAGTAGGTCCTTATTAGCTATATATTTTATATATAGTAGTGTGTATTCCTACAATTTCAATTTTGTGATTCCTGTCATTCTAATATGAAAAAATAAAATCATGCACATCTTTAAGGAAAGTGATTGAAAGTGGACCTTACCTTTGTAGTGTATTGATAGATTTCTGATTATTGCACTTATTTTAAAATGTATTTCTTAGACCTTGAAACATGTCCTGCCTAATTTTTTAAATTTTCTTGGCAGAATTATTGTGGTTACATCTATGGTTATATTTCTTTCTTTTTAAAATATATTTATTTATTTTGGTTGTGCTGGGTTTTCATTGTTGCACAGGCTTTTCTCTCGTTGCAAGTAGGGGCTACTCTCTAATTGTGGTGTGAAGGCTTTTCATTGTAGTGACTTCTTTTGCTGGGGAGTACAGGTTATAGGCCACGTCGTGTGAAGAGTTGACTCATTGGAAAAGACCCTGATGCTGGGAGGGATTGGGGGCAGGAGGAGAAGGGGACGACAGAGGATGAGATGGCTGGATGGCATCACCGACTCGATGGACATGAGTTTGAGTAAACTCTGGGAGTTGGTGATGGACAGGGAGGCCTGGGGTGCTGTGATTCATGGGGTCACAAAGAGTCGGACACGACTGAGCGACCGAACTGAACTGAACAGATTATAGGGCAGGTGGGCTTCAGTAGTTGCGGCTCCCAGGCTCCTGAACACAGGCTCAATAGTTGAGGCACACAGGCTTAGTTGCTGTGCAGCATGTGGAAACTTCCTGGACCAGGGATTGAACCTGTGTCTCCCACGTTGGCAGGCGGATTCTCCACCACTGAGCCACCAGGGAAGCCTCCATGGTTGTATTTCGTGTCCAAATAGAATGATAGAATTGGAGCACCTTGTTAGTATGTGTCTGAAATAAACAGATTTCTTGGCCTGTCGGGAGGAAATGATCACTGAGGATAGGTTCATACCTTTCCTGCTATGAACTGTCATTCTGGGCTTCCCACTTCGGGAATGACTCCTCAGAAAACTTGGAAGAATTTCATACCAAGCACAATAGCATCTCTCTTCTGCAATTTCCTTTCCAGGCAACTCCATTTTTCATTTCCTTGATGCTGCTTGAGCTGGTTGTTGGCTGGATTCGCAAAGGGAAGCCACCAGGCGGTTTGGATGATGCCTTAACATCTATGTCAGCCGGCATTGTGTCTCAGCTTCCAAGGTGAGTTAGCTGGTGAGTTCAGTGAGTGAATAAACTTAAATTCTCCAGGTAAGATGAAGAAGAAACCCATTGTATGGGGAATTGGTCTATTTTTACACGCATCCCCAAAGAACTCAGTTACTGTCACTGTCATTGTTTAAATGTCTGATATTTTGTTCATCATGGATGTTTTACATCTGTTACTGGAAATACTGGAAAAGTATTATTTATTGTGATTACTGAATTTATTGGTGCCTCCTGAAATTTTGTGCCCAAGGCAATTGCTTCACTTGTTTTAGCCTAGTCCTAGGCCTGAGTTTTGTCCTAGTTTTCTACTGGGAAATTAATGTTGCCTCAGGCAAATTCACCTGCAGCAGCAATCTCCCTAATCAATGTCACACAAAGCTCTAGATTACTACAGTGGTCTCCTAAGTGCTATCTCTGTCTCTAGTCCTATTTTCCACTCCAGTGTTCTTGCCTGGAGAATCCCAGGGACAGCGGAGCCTGGTGGGCTGCTGTCTGTGGGGTCGCACAGAGTCGGACACGACTGAAGTGACTTAGCAGCAGCGGCAGCAGTCCTATTTCATTTGCAGCCAAATATTTCCATAACGTGGATCTGGTGGAAACTCACTCATAGGTTCCTTATGGCCTGAGGATAATTTCTTCCCTCATCTGTGGAGGCCTTTGTCTATCCAGCCTGCCTTCTTGTCCCTTGATTCTTCTTCTTCCTTTGCAATAGCCATTTGCTTCTTGTTTGCCGTCACCCAGATGTCTCCAGTGGTCATCCAAGTGGCCAGCTCCCATTCATTTCTTCAGTCTAAATACAGACTTCTCATGAAGAGTCATACCCTTCAGCAAGTCTTGTCTGTTTTCCAACCCTACTTTAGGCATCACTTCACTATGGGCTGAAATCACTGTGGAGTATTGTGCCTACACCATAATAGAATTGTCACATGGTATTAAGCTCACCTGTTTGCCCCCCAGCCCTTCCTGATAGGTTGCATGTAACTTGAGAAAAAGAGGTGTTCTTTCTTCATAGGTTGAACTCCTATGCGTATCATGATGTACAAAATAATTGCGTGTGTGTGTTTTGATGGAGTATGGTTTACAATGCTATGTTAATTTCTGCTGTACAGTGAAGTGAATCAGCTATATGTATACAGATAGCTCCTCGCTCTTGAGCCTCCCTCACCCCCATCCCACCGCTCTAGGTCGTCACGGAGCACAACGCTGAGCTCCTTGTGCTATGCAGCAGGCTCCCACTGGCTATCTGTTTTACAGATGTTACCGTGTATATGTCGGGCTTCATCTCCCAGTTCATCCCACCCTCCCTTTCCTCCCATGTCTACATGTCCATTCTCTATGCCTTTGTCACTATGAGTGTGCCCTGGAACTAGGTTTATCGGTACCATTTTTCTAGATTCCATTCATGTGTTAATATATGATATTTGTTTTTCTCTTTCTGACTTACTTCACTCTGTATGGTAGACTCTAGGTATAGGAATGAAATTGGGTCCTTTGTAGAGATATGGCAGAATTTACTTTAAATCTCACATTCTTATAGTGTTATGTTGATGGTGAAGTCTGAGGATGAAGGGACTGAACAATGCATACTGGAGTGGGTTGGCATTTCCTTATCCTCCAGGGGATCTTCCCAGCCCAGGGATTGAACCCAAGTCTCTTGCGTCTCCGGCACTAGCGTGCTCACTCAGTTGTGTCCGACTCTTTGAGACCTCATGAACTGTAAACACCAGTCTTCTCTGTTCATGGAATTCTCCCAGCAAGAATCCTGGGGTTGCCATTTCCTTTTCCAGGGGATCTTCCTGGCCCAGGGATTGAACCCTTGTCTCCTGCATCTCCTGCATTGGCAGGCAGATTCTTTACCACTGCACCACCTGGGGACCCCAGAATAATGAATGCTGTACTACTTTTTAGAAAAAATAAATTGTAATGTGTTTAGAGTAGGTACCAGTGAATGGAGGGCTCTTCAGTGATGAGAGTTTTCCCAAGAGGAGAGGATGAGGGAAGATTCCCTTAGAAGTCTATGCCTTGTATTACTGGTGAATGTTCTCATTCCTGCTTCCCACCCATTGCTTCTTTTACTGTTTTAAAAGCTTCACTTCTGACCAGTGCTCACTGCTTTGGAATGTTTGCATGAACCGCCCAGTGGGAAACCAAGGTGAATTTTTTAAAAATAAAATAAGAACTTAAAGATAGCTGAGAAAAGGTAAAATCATTTCCTATAATTGAATAAAATTATTTGGATAGAAAGTAAACCTAAAGGTAAAATTTATTTCATAAATGTTACCATGAAAAAGGTAGGTAATAGTTATAAAATAATGGTAATGATAATCAGAATAGTGATTCTCTGAAAAGCTACTCATATGGTTGCATACTGCTGTCAGAATCAGAGAGTAATATCTCAAATTATTTTTAATTTCCAGAATACTCTAATTAGGAATTTACAGTTATACATAATTTCCTTTATTTCATGCCTCACTTAAACAGAAGTGAACAAAAAATATATTCAGCATACTCAAGGGACAAGTATATTTGACTATTGAAAAATACCCAGTTGTAATAGTTTATTCTGAGAAGCTTGAGTGTATAGTTTTATGGCAATGGAACAATTGATGAATTGTCAAAATAACCTGATAACTGAGAAGTACCCTGCAGGAGCAATTATGAATCACATATTTTGTTGAGCTGGAATGAATTTATAAAAACTCAGGGAGACATCAAGTCGGATGAATGCTTCAGTATTTCTTTTACTGTTTTAGGTTGGACTTTGGTCACAAGTGAGATTAGATTGTTTTCTTATTATGTTGTAACAACTAGAAATGTAAACTGTATCCTCAGTACTCTCTTTCTCTTCAACACTGTGATTAAAAGAAAAGGTGCAGAATTCTAACAAGATACCCAAGGAGTAATATTTATGCTAAAAAAGAAACCCCCAAATATAAGGGAAGTGGGGAGAGAGAAAGAGAAAATAAAACAAACTAGTCCTTCAGGGATAAGCCTGCAGTTCTTTTTCTTCACATCCCACTGCTCATAACACTCCGTAAGCTAACATAAGCTGTGAACGCTGGTGCCCTTTGAAAGAAAGGGGAAAGGTTGTGAACTTGAATTTGGAGCCTATTTTTTATAGTTGTATTTTGAATGAGAACAGCACCTTCTTTTTTGTTCACAGTTTTAAATTATGAAATGTGGATAACTTTGTACATTTTACAAATAATTTTATCTTTCACAGGCTTTTGTCTGTAAGATCTCAGCAAAGCAAATTATCTGGAAATGAATTTTCCCAATGTTTTCATTTATTTTGAGCTATCACAAAAATTCCCAGACATAAGCAGAGAAGGAAAGCTGATCCTTAGGATCCACTCTTCGCAATCCTCTTTCAGCACAAGATGAGAAGGGGGATTTGACTGAAATTCTTAGAACAATATTTCAGTTGAAACCACAGCATCAAGGGGAATCCTTGTGCAAATCGTTAACAGCTGAAGGTTAGATTATCACGACATTGATCATACCCTCTCCGAGGGACTAATTTCATTTTCTACACCAGCAACAGGGGCTTGCCATGTCCTTAAAATGCATAATTGCAAGAAAAATGGTAATATACTATTTGTTAATCCCTTTGTGAGGAATTATAGTTTGGATAGTAATTCCAAATAGGCATGTGGCCTCTGACAAAAATAGTTGGGGAAATCAAAGTGAAACCCTGAACATATTTTTCCACTTTGCCATTCATGTAATGGAAATGCTGTGTGCAGACTTTGAGGAAAAACAATGTTTATTTGAGGATCTCAGTTTCATTATAACATAAAAGTCAAAGTAGCTTAAAGATCAGTAGCATACTTACCATATTGATGGAAAAGATCTCTGTGTATCTTTCAAATCTTTATGTAAGGAAAATTATTCAACAGAGACAACATTGTATCTTGTTTACAAGCCTGTCAGACAGACCACAATGTGTAATAAATGTCCATCTGTCCTAAGAACCAGATTCTGGGCAGGCTTGCATCTGTTTTCCTCTTCTAGAATCCCGTAGGCAGACTTTACTAAGAATCTAGTTCTGAAGTTATAGACAAGCATGTGTATTTATCGTAGTTAAATGCAGTGTATCATCTGCAGATAATATGCCTTTCTATTGGTTAATTGCATATATGACTATACAAAATAAACTGAAATATTGACTAAATCAATTTTTAAAATGTAGCTAAAGCTTGTGAAATATCCTGCTACTGACTGAAATGCTAACGAGTGAAAAATAATCACATCTTTTTTTTATTTTGCTTGCTTGTTGAAGCAGAACTCAATTTCCAATCCTTCATTAGAAAACTGGGACTTCAATTTGTTACTTCCTTTCAATGTCTCTGCTTCCATAAATTGCATCCTCCCCAGAGAAATTTTATTCTTGATATAAATATCTACAGTATGTTTGTTTTTAATGGGTTCATTTATTCTGTTGAAACAGCAGATTATAAATCAAATTGCAATAGTTGGAGGTATAATTTAAGTAGGTAAATTTTCAAATAAGTTGGGACACTCCACTTTTAACACATACAAGTCACTGCCAATTTTTACAATAGAACTAGGTCTGCAATATGGCGTCAAATGTATCTACAGTTTCATTGGCCATGGCTGCCATGGCATTTTCCACTCCTGCCAAGAAAGTTTCATCAAAAAAAATAATAATAAATAAAAAGCAAAACTTAAAAGGGAATTAAACTTCTTTGAGATTCTTTTGACTCCTTGAGGTAGGACTAGAAAATAAAGGAAAATTGTGTACTGCGTTTTTATACTAGACTTTAGTAGCAGAGTTGATACTGTTTTTGGCAACATCAGAAATTTGGGGTGATGAAATTTAGTAAACATTTATTCGTTGTCCTAAATAAGAGATACATTCATTTATGTAATATTAATAATGGTATTTTATTGTGAATATTAATATGGTCATATTAACTGAGAAAATTATGAAAAGAACATCCCACACAAACAAAATACATTTTTAAAACCTG